TACAAACTTTTTGAAGAACCCTCGTATATATATGTAATCTTTCTTCTCTTAATTTCCGTGAAGATGAATTAACTTTTGACAGAATATTGTACTTTTCTCTCTATGTGTGTATTAATGAAAAACTGTTTTATATAATGGAAAGAACACTAACCCTAGAATTGAAAATTCACTGTTTTAGACCTGATTCTGTCTTTTATTATAAACATGTGACCTTGGACAAGTCACTTTACATCTGATAAATTTTACCTTACCTTAAGTTTTACTCACAAATTCTAGCTTAAAATCCTCTCCAAAGAGTTTGTCATGTTGTCCTATTAAAGAAATGTTGCTTTTTTCAGTGGTTTCTCAAAGCATTGTTTTTCAAATTATGGGTCGTACTTCATGAAATCATTTTGGTGGGCTGTAGCCAGAATTTAAAGTTTGTAATAGAAAAAAAAAAAATATTAGAATGCAGCTTATGTGGTAAGACTAAAAAGTGTTTTGTGAAACTTTTGTTTCTTCTATATCTATGTGTGGTGTGTGTCTGTTTATGATGATTTAAGTATATTTTCTGTGGGTTATGTTCAAAAATCTTGGAAACCACTGTCTTAGACCAGCTCTGGTTTTGATAATTCTTCCCATAATTATCTTTGGGAAAAAGTAGTCTGTGTGTGGAGTGTTGAGAGCCTGGACTAGCCTAGTGTCATTAGTAATATAAAGTAAAAGGTGCATTGGTTCTAAAATATTATTTTGTTACCTTTCACTTATGATTCTACAGTCTACCTGAAAAAAAATTTTTTTTGGTGGGTGTTCAGTATAATTGGGAGTCAAATTTAAATTTTTTGCATATGTATGTTCAATTGTCCCTACATTGTTTATTGGATAGATCATTCTTTTCCTTTACTGCTAAAGAATCTTCTCATATTCATTAGGAGAAATGTATAAGGATGTTCATAGCAGTGTCCATATATGAGAAGATCTACTTTTTGGCCCTCTTGTGTTCCATTGGTCCGTTTGTCTGTCCTTCTAACAATAACCACACTGTTCTAATACCACACTAATTTTGATACTGATAACCACTATTATAGCTTTTTAATAAGTCTTGATATCAGTTAGAGCAAGTCTTCTACTTTGTTCAGTTTTTTTTTTTTTAAGATTCTCTGGGACATTTGCAGCCTTTTACATTTATTTTCATATAAATTTTTGAATCTTTTGTCAGTTTCTACTAGAAACAAACAAGGTAAGGCAAAGAACTCTGTGGGGTTTTTTTCTTCTTTTCTTTTTTCTAGTATAATTGACATATAGTAAAATCTACCCTTTTTTTTTTTTGTCTTTTTTCATGTCCGGCAACGGATCGCAAACCTCAGTGTTGCGCCCGTACCGGACCGGGACTGGCAACGGGATCGCAACCCTCGGTGTTGCTCCCACACCTCGCTCAGCCAGTGAGCGGGAACCAGTCTGTATGTGGGATCCGAACCCTCGGCGGGAGCGCCACCACGCTCTCAAGCGGCGCACTGTAGCAGTGCGCCACTGGGCCGGCCCGAAAATCTACCCTTTTAATGTACAGTCCTGCTTGGATTTTGCTTGAGACTGAATTGAATCTATAGATCAAGTTAGGGAGAACTGACATATTTCCAATATTGAGATTTCTTCCTGTGAACATGGTATGTCCATCCTCTATTTATTTAAGTCTTTAATTTCTGTCCATTGTTTAAAGATTTCTTTGTAGTGATGTTGCACATCC